TCTTCCTGTGGTGTCTATTCTATTCCTTGTTCATGTGGACATGTGTATATTGGCGAAACTGGTCGTTCCGTCAAAACTCGGATTCAAGAGCATCAAAGATGCATTCGATCAGGTCTTTTCTCCCATTCTGCAGTTGCCGAACACTGCCAAGAAACCGGTCATTCCGTATTGTTCGAAAAAACCCATATTATTTCTAAGAGCCCCTTCTTTTATTCCAGGAAAATCCGCGAATCTCTAGAGATCCGAAAAAATCCCCATAATATCAATCGAGAGGAAGGATACTACTTGTCTCCCATCTGGAATCTCAGTCTAGAGCCACCATCCGGTCCCGCCACCACATGATTGGCCAGCGCGCGCTTCTTGACGTTCGCGCCACGAAGTGTGCCGATACGTCTCGACACGACAGGCACCGCGACTATAAATAGAGCGGTAGCGGAGTAATCGTCGGATTCACTCCCCGCCTCTCGACGCGTTAGTGTTCTGAGCTGTTGGACGTGAATCCCTGTCCTGGCATTTGGTTTTCACCTCTGGCTGCGTCGAGTAGTTGAGTTACTGTGACCAAATGCCCATCTTGGTAGTTAGTATTCGCCTCTGGTTGCGTTGAGTAACTGAGTTACCGTTGCTAACTACCCATCTTCCTGTTCTTTTGTTTTCTTTTTTCTTTTTCTTTGTTTCTCCTGAAGAAGCTACATATAATTGTAGCGAAACGTCGAGATGAACCCACTTTTGGGTCACTCACAAATGACACGGTCCAAACCCGGAAGACGAATAAACTATAACATAATTGATACGTTAACAGATTAAAGTTCCCAATCTCTTTTGGATTCTAAACAAACTTTTCAGAGTAACTTGCTTCAACAAGAACTTTCATTTATAAAATCAAATTTTAGTTTTGTTCAAAAAACAATTACTCAGAATCACCAAAACTGTCATTGTTCGAAAGTACAGCATTAATAAAAGCATTTGCGTCATGTTGTCGGAACGTTAGAGGTAATATTGGAAAAGATATTTTAAAAAAATTTGAAGCTACTATGGAAAAAAATAAAGGTTACCATATTCTTTCTGAAGTAGTCAGTGTTCTAGCTGGAAATATTTCGGAAAGAATTAATTTAGAACCAAATGTTTTGGTTAGTTTGAAAAATGCTCCCGTTACATCAGTTGATGTTGAACGAAGTTTTTCCATATATAAATATATGTACTCAGACAGAAGCCACAAGTTTTTGTTAGAAAATTTTGAACACCACTTGGTTATTTATTGTTACCATAATTCTAAATAAGTTTATTCATACTTAAAAATGATGTAGTTACTTAAAATAAATGTAAATCTTAATGAATAGTAGAAAATATTTAGTTATGTACACTTTTTTTTTAAGTAAAATTGTTACTATTTTACGATTTTTTTATTTATTTGTATGCATATTTTGTAAAATATTTGCATATTTTCGGGTAAACACGTGCATATTTATGCGCATATTTTCTAAATTTTTATTTGCATATTTGCCGAAATGATCTAAGTCGTGAGAGTATCGTTTGTACCAAGATCCTGATGATTATGTCCGCCGACAAGAAAGAGGCCGTAAACGAATAACGACGGAGATAGATGATCGATTCCTTGTATCGAAATCCCTGAGAAATCTCCATTTCACTGGTGCTAATCTCAAAGAAGAGCTTAGAGAGGTCCGAAGTGTGGTTATTAGCGTTTGGACAGTCAGGAGACTAAAGGCAGCCAACATGACACCAAAAAAAGGCAGCTACGGTTTCCAAGCTACCTGCAGCTCAGAGCAAAGGCGATTAGAATTTGCTCGGGAACATCTGGATTGTGACGACTATCAATGGAGTCAGGTATTATTCTCCAACGAAAGTAGGATCTGCCTACATTGCAACGACAAGAGGCTTCGGGTCTATAAAAGGCCAGGAGAGCGACTTGCTCAATGTTACATACGAGAAATTGTGTCATATATAGGCGGTTGTTGTATGTTTTGGGCAGGCATTGCCATGGATGGACAAATCGAGTTAGTTTACGTGCCATGTGAAGGACGTGGAGGAGGTTTAACGGCGCATCGTTACATGAGAGACATTTTGGAGGAATATGTGGGTCCATACGCGGGATTTGTTGGTGATGCCTTATTTTAATGCACGATAATGCATGATGCCAAACCGTACGAGTCACCACCACCTATTTGAGTTAGATGGGTGTACCTACAATAAATTGGTCTGCGTTGAGCCTGGATCTAAATCCAATAGAGTATGTTTGGAATGAGCTTAAATGAAGGGAAAGGGATAGAAATTATGCACCAAGGAGCATAATGGAATTGAGAGCCGCCCTTACTGATGAATAGGAAGCAATGCCTCAAGAATTTATTAGAAAAGTCATCCGATCTATACGAAATCGATTGAAAGTGTAATTAGGAGTAATGGTGGTAATATCAAATACTGAAAAATAAAGAAACTCATTTTGTAATTGATGGTTTCTCTGTTCATAACGTCTTTCTTATTAAGTTAGTTCCAATGATGAATATTTAGGAAACTCTGTTCATATTGCATATTGTTTTTATACCGCGTCTTCCAAATAATGCAATAGCAGTTTTTGTAAGTTCAATGATAAATTTATTGTTTACACATTACTTCATTCTATTTGTAGTTCAAGTGTAGTAGGCAGAGTTGATAATGCAAGTAAAGCAATGGGACTGACAAGAAATCTTCAAGAAACTAAAATAATGGTGATTAGCAAAACCGATGAAAATTATCGCAGTGACCTTAATAACACTCAATTAGAAGAAGTTCACAAATTCAGATAGTTATGAGTACTACTAAATAATAAGTGGGATCCAGATATTAGAGATGCCACTTTGGAACAGGATCTGTTCTTTTCGAAACAGGTTTTTATTTGGAACAGGTTGGAACAGATATTGATCAATAAGTTTTCCTGTTCCAATATAACAGTTTTTTATCACACAACAGACCAGTGTATTTACAAATACCTCAGAAACCGGTGTTGCATTGCTGTGCTTTTATATGGTTGTTGCAGTTCCAGTAGAGTGGCAAGTATGTGCATGCGCATAAACCATGATTGTAAACTGTGAATTGTCGACTCGCGACCGAACCGGTACTAAAACAACCCATAACACAGTGTTAGACTTGGAACAGTTTGGAACTGAAGCAGTTTTTTTAAAACAGATAATTTTTGGAACTGAAACAGGTTAAAACAGTTGTTGAAAAATCCCTGTTCCAACCATCCCTACCAGATATAGAAATAAAAACAGGAATAGAACAGGCTAAGAACATGTACAATAAATTGAAGCAAATTATCTATAACCGAAAACTAAGATTAGACATCGAGTTACTAAATGCTACGTTTGATCAGTCCTTCTATGTGGAGTTGAAGCCTGGACATTAAAATTAAATACCATGAGACGGCTAAAAGCCTTTGAAATGTGGCTTTATCGCAGAATGCTCATAATATCATGGACACAACACATTACGAATTAAACAGTATTAAACACCATAAACAGAGAATTTGAACTTATAACAACGATTAAGAAAAAAAAGACCTTGTACCTAGGCCACATAATGAGAAATGACTAATATTACCTGCTACGATTAATAATTGAAGGGAAGATAAAGGGACCGAAGAGGAGTAGGCAGAAGAGTCATGTGCTGGATTCGTAATATCAGAACTTGGACGGGCATGAACGTTCAACATTTACTAAGACGGATAATGAAGATTTCTCACCGCTATACCCAATCTGCTTACAACTGGTACCTCATTACAAATGCAAATCTTCAAATAGAGGTTAAGGGTTACTGCCAAGGCCATAAACCATTGCCGAAAGTAAGAATTTTGTAAAAATTGTACAATACTTTGTCTTATTAGGATATAATCCTTTATTAACAACTTTTGCGAATTTAACAAATCATTTTTGGGGTACCTGCTGACCGAGTAATGGAAAGTTGTGACGACTTTGATATTGTCTGTCTTATCAGTTAGCATTTCAGTTCATGCGTTAACATTGCATTATCGTTTCAATTTCTTGCTGCTACACTTAAAAACGGCGCTGCTAAACTCAAAAACCTATTGTGTTAAATGTTCATGAATCCCTCTCCATGTTTACTTAAACAAAAACAAGGAAACATTACTGAGCCACTTTTCGTTCTATTTAAACAAAGATATTCCTACATTGGTTACAATATTAAAGGCAATAAGATTAGAGAAGAATTATTTTCCTCACTTTGGCCGAGATAAGTTATGGAAATCACCTAAAAAAATCAGTTTTGCTATAAAAATAAAAAAAACTACAGATATTAAACCATAAAGAAGAGTTTGTTTGTTGGCGAAGGCAATATTTGAGAACGATAAAAAGATTTAGATTAGAAGAAAGATGCACTTTCTATTTAGATGAAACCTGACTAAACGAAAATCATATCGTTTTAAAAGTATGGGTAGATAAAAATATTAGAAATTCTCTACAAGCCTTTAAACCTTCTTCTTCTTAGAGTGCCGTCTCTCTACGGAGGTTGGCAATCATAATGGCTATTTTTATTTTAGAACTTGCTGCTCTAAACAAATCAAAAGTTTCTCAACAGAGTTATTATCAACAGGTCCTCGTAGACACTTCGTCTCAGGACCATTTTACTTATGTAGAGTCATACGCCGCCATGTTACCTATCCAACGGTAACTTAAACATCACAAATTATAACTATTAATAATGTAAAACAACTACAAATTTAAAACATTTAAAGGGTTTTGACCCATATATTTTGGTAGCTACTAGCATATACAACCGTTTGCACTGATGATGGATTTATCAATCCGAAAACGTTCTGCAATGTGTTTGTGATAGCCCGTTTGGGGCATTTTTTATATACCTTTTATAAAGGATTTTAAACAATTTTTTGTAGCCTTTCCACTTTGGAAAAAGGATGCTACCATTAGAAATGTAATTTACATAATAATTTACGCCAATGAATGCAATAGTAATTGTATTTTGTTTTGTTTCAGCCTCGAGTTTACTGAATCTGTCATATCAGAACACGAAACCCTGCGAAGTTCTCGTCGGGGACAATCCCCAAATCGCCCCCGCGTCGAAAACGTCGCCCTCCTCCGAAACGAACCTATCGATATCGACACGACCGAAAACTTCCAACACGGGAGGTAAATACTTACACCCTGCACATTCCAGAAAACGTAGAAATATTTTAGACCCTCCGCATGCTTTTGTGTTACACGTTGATAGTACGACTTCTAGTAGTTCTAGTTCTAGGAGTTCCAGCACACCTGGTTTGCATGCTGATAGTGTTACACCTTTGCATGATTTGAGTAGTTTGTCTACAACGATAGGTAGCACCAGCGATACAGCTTCTACTGGTTCTACAGACAGTACCACTTCTTTATACACAACTAGCACTTCTACTGATGTTACAACTTCGTCTTCTTCCGAAGAATCCAAAACAACTTCTGAAGAACTTAGTACTACTCAAGAGACTTCAACTTTGACTACTTCTACTTCTGCTGAAATATCTACCATTACAAAGAAAGCGGTAACGTATGTCACAGAAGAGAATCTTTACTATGATCTTATAGGTAGTTCTGAAGAAGAAAACTTGTCAGATGCTTCTTTGTTTAATTTAGACAAAGAATACGACGATTTTATTAAAGATGAACCACTGGAAAGTATCGAAATCATAAAGATGAACAATAAACTTTTGTCAACAACACAAAAATCTAAAGCGGGCTACAAAATAACAAACAATGAAGCTAATTCGAAGGAACTAACAGATGTAAATTTGTCAGTTATGCCGATGATTGGAAGCAAAGACTTAAAGCAGATCCTTATCAAGGAGCCAGCTGTATTATACAATAATGCTACTAACAATGAACTTTTCAATGATTTTGGAACTAACACTAAACCTTTACCTATTGTTAAAGTTATAGACTTTCCCACTGTACACAAACCTAGCATGCTACCCTCTAAAAAAATTGTGGTGAATTTAACTATAGCAACGGATGATACTAACAGCGAGCCCTCTGTGTATATGCTTTCGGTGTCAGTGCCAACTGATGGCAAAGGGGAGCCAGGAGTTGAAATTGACACTAAAGAAACTCGGCCTACAGAAACAGCAAAATTATCAGACAAGCCTGCTTCCGCTCACTTACCTGATTTTGAGAACGATGTCTCTGGTGGGGCTTGCGAATGTTCTTGTCCATCCTTAGATTCTCTGGAATTTTCAGACAACTCCACAGCGGACTACGATTACGATAATATAGTCATACAACCCCATAATATTTCGACCACTGAACGATATAGCAACACCAGCGACGGCAGTACTGAGGCATCTACAATCGAAAGTTATTCCAGTACCGAAATCTCCTCGACTTCGTGCCCAGAAGTCACCACCAAATTGCCCCCACCACCTACAATTCTTATTTTGGAAGGTACGAAATAGCTTAGCTTCCTTTCTAATCCAGCTAATAAGCTTACTGACCAATTTTATGCTTGCAAAGGTCTAGTCGCCTATTGCCAATAATATTTTCAAAATATCATCACTCATCTATCACTCACTTATGTATTAGACTCCTCTTCTTTCTCTCCGTAGAAATCGTCTGTTTCACACCGGTCGGGCCATCGTATATTCATAAAAAGGACGTTTATACTGTGATTTCCAAACCAGTTGCCTGCATTTAATTTCACAATACTTCGAAGTAGACTATTTTGAGGTATTTGTTGATATTTCGCAGTACTTACGGTACCCTCAATAAACTAGAAACATTCTCACCATGAAACTGATTTACGTTCTCAAATTATCACTCATATAGGAAATTTTACGGTCCTTTTTAAACAATCTTTGTGAAAATCCTCATGCTTAATACTAATAAGTTGTTCTTCACTAAAAATTACTCGGGGCCAATCTCCTATCGACCAAGAAAGTTTAGATTTTGCCCAAATGAGCCTGGCTTGATTTTGTTTGGCTGTTAATAGTGGTTTCTCCTTTGTTTAGAAGAAAATATGTTCAAATATATTAAACTACAACTTCCTGTCGCAAGTGGAACTATTTCCACTTACGACAGCGTTCCCTTGACCAGTTTCATGATTCCGTTCAGCTGTAACTTGCCTTAGAATATTTCTTCGACCTTTTTGCAAGCTTTTACTAATATTCTCCTATTTCTATCAGAATTTAGTTTTGGACGATCCGGACTTTTACCTTTTTTTTCTAAAATACCTTATGTTTCCCCATAATGCTTAATTATATTTCACACTACAGGAATATTAATTTCATCCGCGATTTCAAAGATTGTTTTATTGCGAGTATAATTTTTGAACTCACAAATTTTTGAATTTGTAGACATGCCAGGTATCATTTTATCGAAATTATACAGCGATTCACACAATTTGAATAGCAGTTTTTAGCAGTTACTTCATACTGTCCCATTATTTAGTTGTCACTATTTTATAGTACTTTTATGATTCTTATGTCATTAATAGATTATCTGGGTTGTATAAAACGATATTAGTTACGTTTTGTGATTATATATAATTTAAAATATTGCTTATTTAACATTATTATCAAAATTGTTTAAAAAAAATAATGAATTAACAGTCAAACGCCTGGGTTGTTTATATATATATATATATATATATATATATATATATATATATATATATATATATATATATATATATATTGTCCCATATTATTATGAACATCCTGTGCAATAATCATTTAACTAATGAACTAGGTAAATACAAGAACTAAACACCTACTTCTAGTAAACAAACATGCGGAACTTCGTCCCAACTTGCCTTTTGCGTTTACGATTAACATACATAACTAAACAAGGAAACAGAATTACCGGAATTTGAAAATATGGGATTGGTAATATCGTGAGCTAGACTTAATTTTGCAGAACCATTTTTTTCGTAATTCTCAAATTAATCATCACGACATAGGAATTTCCTCATCAGTTTCGGTAACAATAATTTTCCTCGGTTCATCAATTACAGAAATAATAGATTTCGTATTTCATAATGCTCTCTGACCTACTAACACAAGTATAATTGAACTCGTTATTTTTTAGTAGTTTGGTCATTACGTCCAGAAATAAGTGTCCAATCTATTTAAATATTAATATTTTGGGAAAATTTGGAAGTGTGCAAACTATTATACAATGTGAGGCAAATATATGGAACGATTGAGTTATTTTAAGCTAGAAAAAACATTGAAATATTAATGATCTTAGGATACAGTAATAAATAGAGAATTTACGAAGTTCAAAAATATAGAAACTCAAGACAAATCCTTAGATTTGTGTCATCGTAAACGAAGATCCACATTTGATTGATCTGTTCTAAGAATTTTACCTAGTAATTAGTTTAAGCCATCTTCTATTTCTTCTCCTTTTTGTCCTTGCTATCTTAAAACCTTGTCTCTTTTCGATGTGACCAATGGCCTTGATCGTTGGCTTTCTATCCAGGATTGTATGTATCAGTGATTAGCTGATAAATTTTGCTTTCCTCGCTAACTAGTGGCTTGGAGGGTCTAGCTACCGAGCTTGCATCTGTCGGTGTATGTTCTCTATGTCGTAGTCTATAGAAAAGAAACTATCTTTAAAATGAACTTATTAGTAAATGATGCATTGTGTAAATCAAGAGGTGAAACATGCATTTCCAGGTCTATAGAACATTCATATGTCTCGTGTATTTTTTGGGTTTTATGATTTTGTAATATTTTTTGTATTACTTTAAATTTTTGTAATTATTTATGATTTCGTGACATTCATTTACTAAGTTCAGTCCAGTCCTATTTGTAACTTCTTTTCAACTATGTGGCTATCTCATGTTTATTTAACAATAAAACACTGAAAACTTTGTTTTCAAACTTCCACAAAATTTATTTTAACTTATCACTACAGCTGTTTCGGCTGATTGCCTTTCTCAAGTGATATATTTTTGGCATGCGTTTACATTTTATAGTCTCTAATGGAATAGGTTGAGGAGGGGAGAACTGTTTGTCTCAAGTTGGTCATTCAGAATTATATCTGTGTTTTTTAATTTGTTGATTTCCATAGATTCTAACAAGGATAGCTTTTATTTTGAATGTGAAGAATTTTAAATTCGTCATTAAAAGAATGATTGTGATCTAGAAGGTCAAGTGCGTATGTAGAATCTGTTTTTCTATTATTGAAACCCCTTTTATGTTCTGCTATTCGTTGATTAAAGTTTCTACCAGTTTGACCGATGTAAGTAATGTGGCAGTCGCCACTTTAAGTTTGTACACACCACTGTGTAAGTGTTTTTTATTTAGGCTCTTGTTGTTATTGATATATTTGCCTAGGTTGTTATTTGTTCGAAAAGCTGGTGTTATTCCTTTCTTTTTTATGGGTTAATGATATTAATATTAATGATTATGTGGCGGAAATACATTAAACTCCTTTTGTACATATATGAAAATAAAAATATACATTTTCATGAAAATATTGATAAAATCCTTCATTTACTATACTCCTATTACAGGTCAAATGTTGTTTATATACAGCAAACGATGCACCGTATACCTATATACCTAAATCTGTTTCTCTTTCTGCTCTCTCTTACCTATAGCATTACATATGTAATGATTGTGCAGATTGAGTCCCATATAAATTTGTAACAGCGAACGCGTGTGTAGAAGTATAACTTCTACCGGAGTTCCACTGGACTGCCACACCCGTTTTTTTATTTATTAAAAAACAGTATCTGCTTTAAAACCAATTTTACCTGTCAACGTTATGATATATTTTTTTTCTAAATGATCTATAACAGTAGTTTCTTAAAATAGTTACTAATAGAGAAAATGTTTAATGATGCATAACTTTTGAAACATTTTTGACTCTTTAGCGTGATGTCGAACATTAAGATACACACTGTAGCTGATGTCAAAGGTTAACGTAGAAAAACATAACCTATAAAAATATATTGTCTAAATATGCATAAAGTTTTGAACACCATTTGAAGTTTGATACTAATTTCTAGACTAAGGTTGTAATAGATTTTGCCTTTCGCCATAATGCTCTCTGACCTACTAACACAGCTATAATTGAGCTTATATTGTTATGTTTATTTTGTTATTTCCGAATGTTCTAGTTGTAATATTATTGCATGTTTGAATTGTGTCGCT